CAGTACTACAGTCAGTAATACAGACTTTACCACACTCAGTACTACAGGAAGTAGTTTCAGCAGAATATCTTATTCCATGCAATAGAGCTAAAAAGTTTTTAACGAACACATCTTATTTGTTCTGTTGTGTTTTCATGAGGGAGAATTTGAAATGATGACTTCTCTGTTTGAGCCGATGGTTCTGATCCAAAAAAACGTTCAATACAAATGGTTCTGATCAGAACATCATTTTATGTTCAAAATAATTTTAGGCCAGAATTTACAGGAACGTTTATGGGGTCAGAACACTCAAAATAAACGTGTATGTAAAGACAGACATTTGTGTGTAGAAGTCAGTAGTTGTGCATAACTAGAATTTGTGCATGTATAATTAATTTATAAAAATACAATTAAAAAAGTTACAACTTCACAAACTTACGAATACTAAGTTCAAGTTTGGTTTTATTTTTTAAGAATACAAAGAACTATGACCATTTGTGAATATGATTTGTGTCCATGTTGAGAATATAAATTTACTACTGTGATCTTACGTCACAGGGTCATAGGCTGGTTAATCGAACACAGAACACATCGATATGTAAATAGGCCTGTCGCAATAAACAATAAATCAATCGTATGATAAATGAATATTATCAACTTCATTTTCATTTATCGGCTTTATCGTTTCTTCGTGTCTCTCTCTTTCTACTGACGACACTGGATGACAAAAGGCTCAAATCCGGTGCTCTTCACTGACCCCTCCCTTTCTTTTTTCTCTTTAAAATCCGTTTTAACGATCCAAAATTGCGTTTTTGGATCATTAAAAGCAGCTAAACTGAGAAGCTAAGCTAAGAGCTAAGCTAACAGGCTGACCTCGGGGAAAAAAATCTTCGTCTTGTTGAAGCTCCAAAATTCACGGTTGAAACTTGTGCCTTTGTGTAAAAGTTGTTTTTCTCTGAGAAAAAAAAAAAGCCGAGAACTTGTTTACTAATTTTTTATTAAAAGCTTTGTGTGAAACATGCTATGCTAAAGAGCTCAAACCACACCGAACGTCCACCATTTTGAGAACCAATTAACAGGAAGGAGAGACAGCCCATGTCACGTCAAGGAGCCTCCCTCCCATTTTTCTTAAAGAGACACGCTGCTCGCTCCCTCACTATCCATCCTTTGGTTCAAACTGTCTTATACTGCCATCATGTGGTCACAAAAGGTACTACACACAAAAATTTCCAACATTTCTTCTTAAATTTGACAATTACTAATTATTGTCAAATTTCAAACAATATTATCATTAATCGCAATAATTTCTGAGACAATTAATCGCCCAGCAAAATTTGTTATTGTAACAGGGCCTATGTGTGAAAAGTTCGGCCGGGCGTTGTCTTGAGAAGGGGTGGACGAAGCTACTCTGAGAACAAAATTACATGATTTTCATTACAACTGCGTCAAAGAGACGATTTCTCAGCTTTGGCTGGAGTATGCAGGGCAGGGCCCTTTACAGCTCATTTAGGAGGAGACTAATGAGAGCATAGGCATAAGGTTAAAAATTTTTAACAATTGTTTTTGATTGATGACTTGTTTTTGTGATTCTTTGAGCAAATAATCAAAATCAAAAGTACAGCTTTAACGTCATAGCTCTGCTACAAACAGTTTTACAATTGTACAATTTAATTTGGTTCCGTCAGAATGTGAACCAGCAGAGTATTAATGCTATCTGCTGCTCTGTTTATTTGTATCTGTGAGTTTTTGTCTTTTGTGTTTGCAGGGTAGGAAGTCGGTTCAGTACGGGGACTTTCAATTTTGCGACCAGGCCAAGTCCATCATTGTTGTAAGTCACTGATCTGAGACCAGCAGCAGTGTGTGTTAAACTGTGCACATGCATGAAACAATGGCAATGATAAAAGCACAATTGGCTGTGGTTGTGTGGGCAGAACCACAAAGCTCCATCTGGATATTACTCTCAGAGTTTTGTTCTCTGATCCAGAGTGTATAAAACTACCTGAAGGCTTTCCCTGAAAAAGATCTTGCCTTGATGGGAACGTGTTGTTCTAAAACCTGTATATCAATCAACCTTTATTTATACAGGTAAATCCCATTGAGCCTCGAGGACTCATTTACAAGAGAGACCTGATATATATAGAAACGTATATACGTTTCTACATTGATTTCCAGATGTGTAAGCTGCCCATGTCAGAGACACTAACGCATCCCTGTGCCAGCAGAGAGGCAGGCATTTGAACTGTGCGCTGACAACAGGCTGGATGGTCCTCCTCGTTAGTATGGTGGATGTGATGTATCTGCTTTCTAAAAAGAATTTCAGATTTGGATTCACCTGACCATAGAACAATTTTCCACTTTGCCTCAGTCCATTTTAAATGACCTTTGGTCCAAAGAAGACAGGGGTGTTCACATATGGCTTTTTCTGTGCATGGTAGAACTTCAGCTGGCATTTGTGGATGATACATGAAACTTTGTTTACAGACAGTTGATTGTGGAGGAGACGGCACGGTGGTAGAGCTGTTGCTTCTCAGCGAGAAGGTTGCCGGATCTAATCCCAGCCAGAGGCCTATCTGTGTGGAGTTTGCATGTTCTCTTTGTGCATGCATGGATTTTCTCTGAGTACTCCAGTTTCCTCCTACAGACCAAAAACATGCATGTTAGACTTATTGGTAACTCTAAATTGTCTCTTAAGTGTGAGTGAGAGAGTGAATGGTTGTTTGTCTTGTTTGTCTCTGTGTCCCTGTGATGGACTGGAGATCTGTCAGTGTCCCCCGCCTGTCACACTGGATATGGGCACCAGTGACCACTGTGACCTGACAAAAGAAGAAGCTAAGCTAAGAAGATAATGGATGGATGGTTTGTGGAGCAGTTCTTGAGCCCATGCAGTGGCGTCCAGAACAGAATCAGACATGTTTTTCATGCAGTGTCCCCTGAGGGCCTGAACATCATGACCATCCAAAATTGACTTTCAGCCTTGTCCTTTGAGCTCAGAGGTGTCTCCAGATACATTAAATCTTCTGAGGAAGATATATTTAGACAGTTTGCCACAGTCTGGTTAACCTCTGCCCATCTTTACTTCTGAAAAATTCAGCCTGTCTAAAATGCTTTTCGTTATACCCAGTCTGCTTACTGCCCTTTGGAAAATTCACCTGATTAGTTTTAAAATGCTCCTCCAGTTGTTTCTGATTTGTATCACTTTTACAACCTTTTGCTGCTCCTGTCCCAACAGTTTTGGACTTGAGTTTGTACTTGTGGATATTATTTAGATCCATTTTCCACTAAGACTCTGGTTCTGGGTACATTCATGTGGTTATAAAATTCAATGACCCCTGAATTTCCTCCTCCCTCAGAGGAACACCAGCCGCCAGTCGAAGCCCCTGCGGGTTCAGGTGATGCACTCGTCTGTCGTGGCACATCAGTGTTTCGCTCTGAAGGCTCTTACTTGGCTGGGACAGATCATTCAGCACTCTGGTATGTTTGGACTTCATTACCCTCAATCCCCTGCTCAGTTTGTTCCTGCTGACCCTCAGCTCTGGTTCAGGTGGCCTGAGGAGGATCCTGTGCCAGGTGGGCCTACAGAAAGGTCCAGAAGGAGAGAACTCCTCGCTGGTGGACCGCTTGATGCTGAACGACTCCAAGATGTGGAAAGGTGACTGATAGATTATAGGTCATGAGTTTCTGATAAGAAGAGGTCAGGATCATAATCTGTGTGTATCTGCAGGAGCCAGGAACATTTACCATCAGCTACTGATGAATAGCCTCCTCATGGATCTCAAGTACAAGAAGTGCTTTGCCATCCAGTTCGCTAAGGTACCCAGTACTCCTAAGACTTGATCCCATCTGGAACCTGCAGCTGGTTCAAACTGCAGCCTCAACATAAACCTTACATGGACCTTGCACGCTACAACTAGATTTACAGGCCAGGTGGTTCCCATCTATAGTCTGATAAGCTGAGAAAGTGTTTTTTTTTGTGGGAAGATAATTAGACCTGAGATTATTATTTTTATAGTTGGTTATCTGTCTGGCAGCAGTGACCTCTCATAAACTGAGTTTTTCTTGTGGAATTTACCGGTAGATACAGATGTGGCCAGATGTGATTTTACCCTTTTGTCGTTCCCTGTCGCAGAACGAAGCTGTCCACAGCTGTTCTAAAAATCAACTAATAAAAATTTTATTTTTATTTTTTTACCTTTCCAAAATTTTTGGTTCAACCAAATTATTTTCAAAAGCTAATGAAACTGGTCTTGACAAAAAGGATGGTACCCCAGAAAAGACTGAAACAGTTTGCCCATAGGGACATGATGCGTCCTGTAATCAGCATCACGGGTGTCTTCAATCAGTCGTGTTTATTTACAGGGTGAAAAGTTGTCACTGTGCAGAATGGACCCTTCAAACCTGAGAGAGCTGGAGCACTTTGCTCAGAAGGAGCAAAAATAGCTGTGGACAGATGCAGACATCTCTGAGTCACAGATTAAGCTTTTTGACTCAAAAGTTGTTCAACAAAATATTAAATAAAGGTACTATTCCTTTTTTTAATCCAGGCTGCCTGTTTCATTATTTTATTTTTTTAAATATTCAGCCAAAAATAGAAAATGATGTTTTTATTAATTGATTTTAAGTCATTTTTTTCTTATAACTTTTGTCAGTTTCAAGTGCAAAGGTCTCGTACTCCTGAGGCTGGAGGTTCAAGTCTAGGTTGCATCAGGAGGGGCATCCGACGTTAAACAATTGTCAATTTTTCTTGCAAGTTAGCTTTCTGTGGCAAACCCTGCAGATGGGAGAAATAAATTAAAAAAAAAAACTTTTGTCATTTTTATGTTATTGTGGGGTTTTTTTTTTCTTTACCAAAGGGTAAAAACAAATTTGACCACATTTGTGTTTAACCCTGAGATCAGGTTTGGTATATTTAGTTATTTCCCTGGCAGCAGTGACCTCTGACCCCACTTCCTCTACAGAACTACAGGCGGCTGCAGACAGATTTTATGGAGGACGATCATGAGCGATTGGTATCGGTGACGTCGTTCTCTGTTCAATTCTTCACCGTGCCAACCATGGTGAGTGGTCCTCCTGTTCTTGCATTGCACCCCCACACACCTGTCCCTCTCTGTCCCCTCCCCCCACTGGTCGAAGTCCACCAGTTTGTGTGACATCATCAACCCTGTGTGCTGGGTGAAACTGGCTCTTTGACTTAAATCTGACAGGTTTGAAAAAGCTGAAGATTTCATGTGACACATGTACAGAGCTGGTATTTATTTATCTGGGCTAATAGTGACCAGAATGTGATGATAGTCAGTTTGACTTGCAACTGAGGAGAACTTCATCACACAGGTGAGAATGAGGAACATGTAAACATCATACTAAAAATGTTTAACTTGATAAGTGAATTTTACATTTCCTTTTGTTTTGTAATGACCCAAAAGTTTCTGTCAGTTTGTTAAACTGGACTCAAAGTGCAAACTGGAAGGAAAGTTGTAAATAAAAACAATGTGTATACAAAACTATAAATATAAAACACAAGTATGCCTGTCAATAATGACTTGTTGAGCTATGAATATAAAACTGACAAACCTGTAAATATAAAACATTAATTACAATGTAAATATAAAACACTTGCAAAACTGTACACATATAAAAAAAGTTGTTTTTTTAATTTAAAACTAATATGGTCTGTAAATACAAAACACTGTTATAATAAAATATAAGCTGTAATATTTTAATAATAACACATTACCCATAAATATAAAACACTGTAAAAAAAAAATAAAAATTAAAAAATAATTTTTCATTTTGTTAGTTTGTTGGTTCTCCGGGTACTCCGATTTCCTCCCACAGACCAAAAACATCATGTTAGACTGATTGGTAACTAAGTTGTACCTAGGTGAGAGTGAGAGAATGAATGGTTGTTTGTCTCGTTTGTCTCTATGTGTCCCTGTGATGAACTGGAGACCTGTCCAGGGTGTCCCCCGCCCCTTGCACAGTGATTGCTGGACATGGGCACCGGCGACCCCCATGACCCAAAATGGAAGAAGCGGGTAAACATAATGGATGGATGGATGGATGGATGGATGGATGGATGGATGGATGGATGGATGGATGGATGGATGAACAAATGGATGGATGGATGGATG